ATCAATGGGAAGATCTTCATCATTTCTGATTTCTTACACATACTGAGATGCTGAAGTTGCTCTGTTGGAACACATGGTAGATCTCCGAATTTCTCCTACCTTTAGCTAGCTTCTTTGTAGGAATGCATTTATGTTATGTTGGGGGGTTTTGCTACCAGCCCAGCAGGCGTGCTTTTTGGTAGCTAACAGATGGGAGCAGTGTTGGGAAAACTGACTGTGCTTGGGAATTATTTTGGAATATCTCCTCTGATAATTCACTGTTGTCGAAAAGTAGCTTTATAGTGGCAAACTTGAGAGAGCTGTCTGTGCAGCTGGGACTGAATTTACAGACTACCTTTCTCTGACTTGCTGAAAAGCTAAGGATTGACAACCCCTTTCATCCTGCATTATCCAGTGTAGCTTTTAACTCGAAGAAAACTATGTTCACAAATTGATGCTCTGCTCCTTTGGGGTTGGTGCAGAAACATTAAATTGTACTAAAATATTCATATGTGAGTGCATTTAGCTGAAAGCAATTGATGTGCTTTTCCCTAGAGAGAAAAAGATTGCTGTATGGCCCTGCACTCTAGCAGACACCCTAACCACGCTTAAGAGTAATTATATAGCTTGGCTGATCAGAGGTTCTTAAAGTGAAAAAGAAACTGTAGTTGGGATAGAGTTTAGTCATGTGTGCTTCTTGAATGGAACATACTCAACTGCTTCAAAGCAGTCCATGCTGCAGAACTGTTTGTTATACAGCACAGTATATATGAATGAGTGTCAAGCCAGAAAATATTTTATTGGGTTAATAGCTTGTAATTGGAAGGAATATCTTGTATGAAGCAATTTTCATTACAAAGATTTCTTTCTAATTTGATTGTCCTTTCACTCGTGAAGAAAGTATTTGAGCTGCCTTTAAGAAGAGTACGTGTGCCAAAGGGGTTTATTAAACCAGCCTGTTTAAAAGCATGCCACTGGTAGGATGATAAATTGATGTACACTGAAGGTTTTCAGCGTAATTCAAATGTTGGCATAAAAATCAATAGTAGCTGATGGTGTGCCTGCAAAGTAACTGCCTCATCTTGGGTTGCACCTGTGGGTGCTCACTGCTCTCTTACAGTAGCATTCAAAGTCACTGTAAGTTGCGACTAAAAACTGCTTGTGGTTCTCTTCAGCAAATGTACCTTAACTGCCCTAAGGCAGCCGAAGGCATTTTAAAATGTTCTTGTAGGTAAAAATTAGGTAGTAATATATGGCACAAATTATTCTATAAGTAATTGGAGGAGTCGGTGTGGACAGGAAAATAACTGCTTTGGTATATTGGTAGTTATAATCATCCACATATAACACCCTTGTGACATTTATCCTCAGCGTAACTGGCTGTGTGGGTTCTGCAGCCAGCTGTGCAAACTCATGCACATGAACTCTCATGGACTAATGTGAAAGTTGGGGACATATAAAGCAGAAATAGGAATTTAGTGGATGGCTAAGAGGGTTTTTTTTTCATTTTAATGCTTAGTAAACAAGACACACCACAGTTGTTTGTTGGAAGAAGAATACAAGGCTAGATCATACTTGAAATAGCAAATGAGAAGTTGGATTCCTGGTTTGGAATCTTGCCTTTGAATAGAATAAATCTGGGACTTGGAGTTTTGTTTCTTTTTAGGCTTGTTGTGGTGCGTATCCGTGCTTACAAACTTCGAGGTCTCCGAGTCTTCTGGGATTTTTTGTGGCCAGACAAATTAAAACATCTTGGCCTTCCTACCAATATGCTGCAGAATCGGCTTCGGCTGCGTCTGTAGGCCTTGCAAGAAGCCCGATGGGTATGTTGTGTGCTGATGCTCCCACGAGGACATGTTCTCATGACTGACACACCAAACCCTTTGGGCAGCAGCACGTCTTTAAGTACTTGCTGATTGTGCCTCCCTGCCCTCTGCTTCATGGGCTCTTCCGTCCATTCAGCTTCTCTTGCCGTGTTTCCCCCGCTGTGCTGTTGCTGTGACCTCCACTCTGCTGTCTCTGTTTGTGGCATGGCTGTAATGTATGTACAGTAATCCTTCCCTGGGTGAAACTCAATTCCTGTGAGTTACTGTAAGACAACTGTTCTGGTGCCATGCCCTTATACCACCAAAACTTCCCCTTTCCTTGACTTGAATTGCTTCTGGGGCTTTATTTGTATCAGACAGTGTGGTCAGCACCTTTGTGCAGAGCCTGTGCTGGTTTGTTCTGCCATTCTTGTGTGGCACAGTGCAGGCAGCAGCCCCTTGGTGAAAACCTGCCTGTGCAGAAACACCAGGGAGTTGATAAATGCCCCTCCACATCCTGGACTTTGACCTAAGTGCCTATAATTGTAGGCTGTGGATCAGCCACCTGACAGCAGTAATTACAGCAGCTTCCAGGGACCCCAAAAGCAGGAATTCAGAGTTGGTGTAAAGCCATCTTTGTTGGTACCTGAGAGGTGCAGTCCAGCCTCTGATTCACACTGGTTGGTGCCTTGCCGTGGGCCTCCTGTACGTGAGCTTGGGGCTACAGTCCTGACTTTGACCTCTGGCACACTAGAAACGAGAGGACTCAGCAGAAGGCGTGCTAGAAGTTAATGATTTCAGGCAGAACATCAAAGTGAGGGTATTGTCCTGAAAATAACCCTGAGATCTGAATGCCTGAGTCCTTTATGACCTCTCTGGATGCCCAGTTGAATCCTCTCCTTGGAGAGCACTGAACTGTACTGAATCTTTATTGGTCAGACCTTGTCAGTCCTTTGTGTCCCTCCTACTAAATTGTAGAATAGATTCAAACTAAGATTTAAGCAGTCAAACCAAGTTTACAGTATGGAACTATTGATAAGAAACTTGCTGTCCTGTGTGTTTTGTATGAAAACATAACTGAGGAGACCCTCCATGAATGGAGCAGTTATCTCAGCCAGAGAGCCCAGCACACGTAACCCAGAAGGGCATGGTTTGATGCATGAGAAAGGCTTTTTAGACAAGCCTGGTGATTTACAAATGTCCTTTAGATGAAACATCCTTGTCTTTCTGAGATATTTTAATAGAATATATACATAGGCATCTGGTTCCTGGTGAGCTGGATTCTTTCCAAAGGCTGAACTTCAGATGTTAAACAGCCTGATAAGAGTATCTGGTAGTCTAGATGACTGGCACTTAATGAATTGCTCTGAAGAAAAATCAGATTACAGTAATGTGTTTTTAAAAAGGGCTTGTACTAAAGACAATACGATATTAGAATAATTTCTCCTGCAACATCTGTTCTTTTATTTAGTATAATTAAAATATTGCATTCTTACCATGAGCTCTTACATGGAGGTATTATGTTACATTGCAGCTGTGGTTAAAATGGATTGACCTCCAATAGTAATCTACTCAGTAAAAAGCTATTGAGGCTAAAAAGCTTCTGAGTGTCTCCAGCAGCTGTGTGGTTTTGTGGAAGTACGTAGGCTAGATTCTGTGTTTCAGTTTCAAAGCAAGCTTTTTTAATAGGAAATACTTTGTTCCTGCTGGTTTCCCTCTCTTTCAATTTTTGCAAGATACGGCTTTTGTAGAAAAGTGTAGGAAAGCTTCATAACTTTTACTTATCTGTTCCTGTTTAAACACTAATGTAATGGGTGAAATCTGTGGCTGTAGAAACATCAGAAAGCAATCTTCCTACTTTTTGTGACTGATATAATGACTGTCAGGCCTGTATGGAAGAAGCAGTCTGCATGGTCTCCGTGGTTGAACACCTTCATTTGCCAGCGTCTTCTGCAGGTGCCTGTTTCACAGCTGTGCTTTGTTCCATCACCTTAAAAGCCACTTAACTGTGCTTCAGTTAAGTGATGCACATCCTCAGTTGCACAGGGATAAGAGTTTTTGAACCTCTTGCCCTGCCCGGCCCCAAAAATAATGTCTTGAATTAGATTTGGATGTTCTTAAATATTGACCTTAAAAGAGAATTTTTTTCGGTATTTGAGGTTGTGCCTTTTCTAAGTGTGTAGAAAAAACCACCTTGAATCAGTTTGGGCAGATCCACTAGTTTTGTGTGTTCCAGTTTTCTCTTACTGAATAAGTTGGTGAAAAGTACTTTGGTTTTCTTCTGTGAAATTAGGTAGTTGAACAGCTCAGGTTTGACTGCTACTTTGGCTTGTAGTTGTGGGAAGACTGTCATGGAGCTGAAAAAACACTTGATTTTGAATAGATCACAGCCTGGGTGACTGTCAGCCCGAGGGAAAAAAACACTTTTCTGCTGTGAGTTCAAACTGTAGATCTGTTTGCCTATAAATTTTTATCTATTTTGAACCGAAGTCTCTTTGGTGCTGCGAGCCTGGGAGCCCCAAAGCGTACAGATGTTGGTGCCTACCTGGGAAGCACTTCTCTACTCATCCTGTGCAGGAGCTGGTAGTGACTAGGGGAATGTTGAGGGTTCCCTGGCAGTGTTCAAGGCCAGGTTGGACGGGGCTTAGAGCAGCCTGGTCTAGTGGAAGGTGTCCCTGCCTGTGGGAACGGGATGAGCTTTAATGTTCCTTCCATCCCAAACTATCCTGTGGTTCACTGTAAGTGCACTAGCTAACTTGAGGGTCTGAGCTGTTTTGTCCTGCTGGTTTGAACACCTGAATTTCAGCTTTGTGCGTTCCGTCTTACTTAAAGGCTTCTAAAGGCTGCAAACAAAAAAGCCTAGGTTTTGTCTTCAGGCAACTGCGTTATCCATATGTTATCTTGCTTACTAGCTGTGCGGGGGATCTCCAGGGTCATGGGTAGCATCAAGTGCCCTGTCCTCCAGCTGAGCAGTGTCTTAGGCTTGATGCAGCCTTTACTTGGTTTTCTTTTCTCACCAGTCTTTGCCAACTGCTCCCTTGGGATGCAGCTGTAAAAGGAGAATCTCCAACTGGGGAAGGGAACCAACCGTAACTGCCCTTAATACTGACACCTTCCGTAATGTAAAAACTAATGCATGTCATTGGTGCTGAGTAAGAGAGAGCTGAGTGAAACTGCCATGGGTACCAAAAATGTCTCATTTTTGTCGTCTTCTAGGAACTTTATATTGCTGTGGGAATATCTGGAGCGATCCAACACTTGGCTGGAATGAAAGACAGCAAGGTATGTAAAGATGGGCGTGCTAGAAAAGATCGCTGAGGAAGGAAATGAGTCAACTTCCTTGCTTTTACGTCAGTACACTGCCCAGTTTTCCAGGTTTTTTAGTGTTAAAATGGCCAGTTTGTCTGCTGCTTTAAAACAAGTCAGTCCTCTCAGCCTTGCCAAAACCAGGTATTGTGGCAAAACACCTAACACAGAAAACCTGTTGCCCCGCAGCCCAAAGCAATGAGTATCAGCAGCTGATTGTCTTGGCTTATTGAAAACCCAACAACCCCGTGTGTGCCTGAATTCTATACGATAGCTCCGGTTGTGTTTCTTTCAGAGTATGACATAGTAATTCATGCATAACAATATGCAATCTGAATTATGAACTTAGGATTCCATAAAGTAAAAGATGTCTCTGACATTCCTGCATTTAGCCATTCAAACGGAAACCTATTATAAACCAGCAGTAAAACTTTAAAAGGTTTAACTCATTAGTTGCCAGAGCACGTAATGCAGAGTGGGAGATGCCTGTTGGACCCACAGGGCTGCGTTTGGGACGAGGAGCAGAATTACCTGCTGCATCACACTGTGGGTTGTCCTAACCTCCCCCGGATGATTTTAGAAAAAGGATATGTAATTTTTTTCTCTTTCCAGGGAATGACCTTGTGCTTCTGGCAGGAACCAAACCCAGAACTTTGAGTAGCTTATAAAGCCGAGGGAAAGGTTTGCAGAAATGCACAGGCAGATCCTTGGGTTTAACCAGCGACAGACTAGCGAGTTTGTGACTGCATGTGACCGGAGTTGTTCTCACAAGCCAGCCTGTCTCTGCCACCTTACAGTTCAGTGCTTTTTGCATATATCATTTACATATTTTGGAGGGGAAAATCATGTAATCTGGATTTGGGACACAGCACCCCTTTCGGAGCCTCAGTCTTCTAAAATCCGGTGCTGATGAGCCACACGATTGTTAAAAGTATCTTTGTTTTGAGGTGCTTGTTCTCCACCTGGGCTTTTGGGTGGGCTGAGAAGGTGGGTAGCTGGGATTAGTGTCAGCCATTGACTGAGAAATGTGTATTCAAAGCTGCTTAAAACTTGATCTGACCCTCTTTGTACTTACCTTCTGCCTTATCACAGTTAAGGCACCAGCTGTTACGGGAATATATGACTTCAAGTGCCAAAATTACCTTTGATTAAAAAAATACTGGGCAGCAATGTTGTCCTGTACTGTAACAGCAAAACCTCTACTTTTTTTAGCTTTTCCAGTACCATATTTGATATTTTGAGATGTTCCTTTATAGGAAATAAGGACTCATGAAATCTGTTCTTTAGAGATCTGTACTTAACAGTTCCATTTCTCCCATATCTCAGAGGTTTTCTGGCATCAACAAGTGTATTGTAAAATTCAGTTTGGAATGTGTTCTGCTTTCCCTTTAGCCAAAGCACGGCGGTGGTGTCGTTACTGAAAAGATCCAGTTCTTACAAACATAAAGCATTACAGCCACGGGAAATCTCTGGAGTGTCCCTTGTCTTCCCCAGCACTGTGAATTGTCTGGCATTGTGAACTTGGACACTTCAGGATATGTTTTTCCAGAGTAGTTCGATGCTTTCTACCAAGTGAGATGTATAATTTATTTGTCCTTTTACAAGCCAGGTAGAAAATGCAGCTCTTGAGGAGGCCTCGCGAGTCGGCGTTGCTTGCTTTCCTTGTTTTCCGTTCCCTCATGGGCTACTTACAGTGGGTTTTCTTTCTAAGATGTAACTTGCAAAGTTCTGTTGCAAGCAGGGTGATGCTTTTGCTTCTTGCCGTGGAAGTAACTTTTTACTAAGGAGGGACTGGGCTGCTAAACTAAAGCTTGAGACAGTTTTAGAAGCAACTGGTGTCTATTTTTGTGACAAGGACAGAGCTGGCAGTCCCCAGGTGGCTTCCACCACTCCCAGCATTGGGTCTCATGCCCTGTGACCAGTTCTGCAGAGCACGGTAGGGCCTCAGAGGATAGTTCAAGCCTTTATTGAGGAAATACCCTGGGGGGTCACAGCCTGGATTTTGGTTCTTTGCTCTGCGGAACTGTCAGTGGAGGCTTGTGTTTACAGAGGCGGGGACTGAAATGAAGCCAAACTTTGGGAAAAAGATTTTCGGGGAAGCATTACTGGAGAATATGCAGGTGTTTGCTTCTGAGCTGGCAGGAGGGCAGCAGGAGCAGCGCTCTGCTGCAGGTGCTTCCTTCTTGCCATCATGCTGTGGTCCTTCTGTATCGCGAGTCATAGGATACAAATGACCCGAGAGTAAAAGAAACGTTTATGTGGGCCTAAACCCACAGGCTTTGCGAACTTCTACCTTTGAGTTACTGCTATGAGGGGTACAGCACTGAGCCGCTGATTGTGTTGGACAAATACATTTAGGGGAGGGAGTAAATGAGGCACATGAGCTGTGGGTGCCTGGGAAGGGTAGGTCAGTGTGTCACACACACAGCTGCTGGGCGAGGGCTGTCTCAGGAGGCTGGGAACAGCCTGAAGCAGGCTCAGGCTGGCAGCGTTCAGGATGAGAAGGCAGCAGTGGAGCGCTGTGCTTCCAACGCCGCATTGGTGCAAGGCTTGTTCCGCAGGCTCCTGTCCTTCCTTTCCTCCCATCCTTTATGGAGTGCTCCCCATCCTGGTGTAGATCTTGATGGGGACACCCCCATGTATTTTGCAAGAAGCTGTCTCAGATGTTACAGAATGATTTACCTGCGTGGCAGAGTTTAAACCAAGACAGACATTTTTCTGGACCATTGCTTTGGGATTTCCATCATCTGCATTTTTCTACAACCCAAACGATGTGTCCCTTTAGGCACAGTTTAGATTGTACTTGTTTTAAATGAGTTATTTCTGTGATGGTAGTGCTTCGAGCTGGCAGGTAATCTTTTGTACTGTTTTGTTTCTAGACTCTTCAACAGGGAAGGACACCCCGATGTATGCGATGAGCTGGGATGGAGTTTTTATGGGGGGAGGTGTTTGTTTCTGGTTGTTAATTTGTTTTTTGGGATGGAAAGGAAAAGATGTTAAAATGCTACAGCCCCTGTCTTCTGCTTCCAGGGGCTTGGGGAAAATTCAGCTGGGCTTCCTGGAGAAGGCCTGTCACTGTGATCCATCCCTAGACATTAATCTGTATCTCTTTATATATATATATATATTCACATGGTGATTTACTGTTTCTTGCAGACCATTGTTGCTATTAACAAGGATCCAGAAGCTCCAATATTCCAAGTGGCAGACTTCGGCCTGGTGGCAGACTTATTTCAGGTGAGGCTAAAGATGGAGCTGTGTGGGATAACTGAGAGTGGTAACAAGAGCTCAGCTCATTCAGTCTGTCTGTGCGAGGGTGTCTGCCTTAGGTTGTTTTGTTAAAGAATTTGCTTTCTGATTTCATTATTCTCATGCTAAAAATTGGATCCCTGCACATCAGAGAAGCCGTCAGGTGTGCTGGGGGGTGTCCCAGCCAGGCTGCCTCCGTTCCCATTTCCTGGCTGTGACCCATTCTTTGCAGTAGTGGCACATAGGTGCTTACATACGTTCTTTTTTAACCTTCCTGAAGTGTGACCGTCCAGCGTTGTTGGCAGGAGAAGCTGGGACTTTTGCCTGGGCTGCTGCCCATGAGGAACTTGCAGCACTCTCTGGGAGGGCTGCGCTGAGAGCCAGCCCGTGTGCCCTCGCCTGCGGCTCGTGGTGGGGCCCTGGTGGAGGCGCTCCGCGAGCGGTGCAGGCACAAACGCTGCCAGCACTTAATGCCATTGCTGAAATAGTGCCCGCTGGCTCAGCGTGAGCACGGGCCCTTCTGTGAGCCACAGACAAAGTCGCAGTCTGAAGAAACACCATGTAGACAATTTCCTTAATAAATTTTGTACGAATGCATTATTTCCACCTAATGGAAATGCAGTGCTCTTAAATAATTAAGCAG